TAAATAACTATGTACAAGCAAGATATATAAAGGATAAATTTTAAGTAAACAAGATAAGGAAAGCATTCTGAAGGGGATCAGGAAAGGCTTCTTTCAGAAGGTAGGAATTTAGCTGGGACATGAAAGAAGTCAAGGAAGACAGGAGACAGAGATGAAGAGGGAGAGAATTCAAGTCATGGGCAATAGCCACTGAAAGTGCACTAAGTCAAGAGATGGCGTGTCTTTGGGGAGAAGCAAAGAAGGAGTCAGTGCCACTGGATTGCAAAAGTGAAGGGAGTAAGGTGTAAGGATACTGAAAAGGTAGGAAGGGGCTAAGTTATGAAGGGCCAGAGAGAGGATTTTATATTTTGATTCTGGAGGCAATAAGGAAGCTATTCTCAGTAGGGGGAGGAGGGGTGTGTGTGTGTGTGTGTGTGTGTGTGTGTGTGTGTGTGTGTGAGTGAATGAGAGAGATAGAGAGATAGAGACAGAGAGACAGAGAGAGAGACAGAGAGACAGAGAGAGAGAGAGAGAGAGAGAGAGAGAGAGAGAGAGAGAGAGAGAGAGAGAGAGAGAGAGAGAGAGAGAGAGAGAGAGATGGCCTAAGCTTTAGGAAGATCATTTTGATTGCCAAAAGCAGGATGGAATGCAGTAGGGAGAAACTTCAGGAAGGGAGACCAACCAGCAGACGATTGCCAGAGTCCAGGCATGAAGTGATAAATGTTTACATCATGATGGTTGCACTGTCAAAGGAAATAAAGTGGCACATGTGAGAGCTGTTATGAAGGCAGAATTGATAGCACTTGGTAGCAGACTGTATTTGGGGGTGGGGGGCAGTGATAAAGAGTGAAGAGTCCAGGGTAACACCTACATTGTGAGCATGGGGGCCTGGGAAGATGGTGATGCCTACAGCATCAACAACAGGGAAGTTAAGGAGAGAGAAAGGCATGGGGAGAAACAAAATTAGTTCAGTTTTTGGACATACTGAGTTTAAGATGTCTGTAGGATATCCAGCTTGAGATGTCTAAAAGGCAGTTGGAGACTTGAGAATGGAGGTCAGAACAGAGATTAAAGTTGTATAAACGAATCTGAGAAGCATGGGCACATAAATGATAACTGAATCCATGCAAACTAAGGAGATTACCAAGTGAAATATAACGGGAGAAAAGCAGAGGACCCAGAACAGAGGTTTGGGGGACATCCTCTGTTAGTGACTGTGAACTGTATGAAGATCCAGAAAAGAAAGCTGAGAAGAAGCAGTAAGACATGTAGGAGAACCAGAAGAGAATACTGTCACAAAAACCTAGAGAGAAGGGGGTAATCAAGAGGCTTAAAAAGTTGCACAGAAGTGGCCATTACATTTGGCAATTAAGATTGAATGATGAGGTAAGAAGCTAGACTGCAGAGAATTATGGAGAGAATGAAAGGAAAGGAAATGAAGGCACCAATTAATTACAGACAGTCTTTTCAAAGAGTCTAGCCACAAAAGAGGGGAGAGATATGGACAGATAAAAAATCTCTGTTGTCATTTCTCATGACACAGTGATGTTCCATCACATTTATCAGACAACTTGTTCAGCCATTCCCCAGTTGAGGGGCACTCCCTCAGATTCATATTTTTTGCTACCTCAAAAAAATTTTAAACATTTTTGTGCATCTTTACCGAGAGTTTGTTTTGCAATCCTTCCCTCAGAAGAAGGAGAGTAAAAAAAAAACCTTTCAAAGACTCTTCCCCTAGAAGATTTTGCTCTCCAATACTTGGGCACCTTACTTCACTGAGGTAGAAGATTGGTAAACAGAAATGATGCATTAAAAGAATGGGCTACCCATGTATACAACAATATTTATAGCAGCTCTTTTTGTGGTGGTAAAGAATTGGAAATCGAGGGGATGCCTATCAACTGGGGAATGGCTAAACAAACCGTAGTATATGAATGTAATAGAATACTATTGTTCCATAAGAAATGGTGTAGCAGGGAGACTTCAGCAAAACCTGGAAACACTTGAATGAACTAATGCTGAGTGAAGTGAGCAGAACCAGGAGAACACTGTACATAGTAACGGCAACATTGTCTGATGACTAACTTTCATAGACTTGGCTCTTCTAAGTAACTCAAGGATCTAAGACAACTCCAAAAGACTCATGATAAAAAATGCTATCCACATCCAGAGAAAGAACTGTGGAGTCTGAATGCAGATCAAAGCATATTATTCGCTCTCTCTCTTTTTTAGTTTTTGTTTTTTTGTTTGTTTCTTCTTTCTCATGGTTTCCCCCATTGGTTCTAATTCTTCTTTACAACATGACTAATGTGAAAATGTTTAATGTGAATGTGTAGGTAAAGCCTATATCAGATTGCATGCTGTCTTGGGGAGGGGGTAGGGGAGACAGGGGGAGAAAATTTAAAAGTCAAAAGCTTATGAAAGTGAATACTGAAAACGAAAAATAAATAATTTTTTTTCATTCCTCTGTTACCAGATCTGATATTTATTGACAATGAAAAAGCACAAACTGAGTAGAATTTACAAGGCTATGCTTTCATGATATCTTTCTTTTGTACTGGAATTCAAAGGGAAAATCTCTTCCCTCTGAATCCCAAACCTGACCAAATTACTCCACTTGACATCCTAAGTTACCTGGAGTCCCATGTGTTTACCTGGAATGAATCCATGCAGACTGGACTGCAAGCCAGCTCTTCATCTACTGCATGCAGTTTCTCCATAAAAGTACTATCCTTGTTCTGTTTAGGCTTAGGAGGAGGGGGTGGCCCCATGGGTACGACCTCAGCACTGATGTGCCTGATGGGAGGGGTGGTGATTTTCTCTGCCTGATTAAGAAAGGTAATTCTATTAAACAAAGACCTTGTAAGTATAAAGGATCCACCTCTCTCTACCCAGACAGAGACTGATTCTATTTCATTCTGTTTTCTACCACACAGTAGTCTTATTGCAGCCTTCTAATGAGACCAAATGGGATGCTACTAACGTGGCCATAAGGTGAGAGAATTATTAGGCCTTTAACTTGATTGTTTTTTTAGAGGACAAATGAAAGATACAAGGTACCAGAAAAAGAAAGGCTAAGTGAAATACAGGGTCTCTTGCCCTTTCCCCCTCTCTATTGAAGAACTAAGAAAAGCAGACTCTTCCCTCGCTGGTAAGTTTCAATGAAGCCTTAGCTACTCATTCCAAAGCATCTAAGAATAAATGACAACTTCTAAACTCAATGAAACTACGTAGTGGCTTAACATTTTGCCAAATTCAGAGGTCATATAAGTCAATGAGTTTACCCTGGATATATATATGCAAAACAATGATACAAAAGCCAGGGCTTTTGACTGCAGGTTAGATTTATGGGCAACTCTTAATTATTTATATAATGGAGACATGCAGAGCACATAACGTACCAAACAATAATAAATGATAGAAAAAAATTGGCTCTAGAACACATTAGATACATGTAGTCAGTGACACATTGTCAGTCACACAAATGTACTTGCTCACAGACATTGTTTTCTCTCTCTCTCTTTCTCATTTGTTCACTCTTACTCTCCTCTCTCTCAATATATAATTCTTTTTCTAATGAACTAAGTATTGGGCTGGAGAAGTCTCAGGTTTAGAATAGATAATTCTTAAGAGAGTAATCCACATTCATTCATATACTGACAATTGAAAGCTAACTACATTTCTTATTTACCTCTGAGAGAATTCCACTCTCCTCATCTGTCTCAGTCATCTCTGAGGACTGTCTCATTCTGGACCTCTTTGACCCCCGTGGAGAAGAAGCAGTGCTTTCCACATCACTTTCCAATAAACTCTACAAAAGGAAGTCAGTAATCCAAGTCAATATTCTTTGCAACTGCGCTTAACTGATTTTGGGCTCACTTGCTTCAATTATCTTTGCCAAACAATTCTATAAAAATGTTAAGATGATATGAATAATAAGCAAACACAATCCCTGGATCTAAACTGCAAGGAAATGAGCTGACAAAAGTACTGTGCCTCCATCTTTTCTATAGGATAGGTAATCTTACAAAATCAAGAAAGCAAAGTAAACCTAGCCTTGTGGAGACAAACCTCTGATGTGCAATCAATAGAGCCATGGAAGCTATATGCTCACCTCTTCAGCTGTTTCATCTTCATCCTCATCTTCTGGCTGATATTCTTCATCTGAAGAATCATCCTCTTCAAGGGGAATATCCACAAACTGAGGAGGCTGCAATAATCCAACCATAAAACAAAAGAATGGAAGAACATACAAGACACATGAACTTGAAGAGGGTTAAAAAGCAAGAGGGAACCCTCATGGCAGACTACATTCATCCCTAAATGCAGTCAGATAAAAGGACGTGGTTAAAGAGATTACTAGATTATTAAAGAGACAAAAGTACATAGAGAGCAGAGAATGGTAAAAACACAAATAGGATGAGCCACAGAGTAGTAAACAAGGAGCTTTTTAGAACTGACCGCTGGATACAAGAGTCTTAATGGCAAAGCATACCTTGATTTCATTGGCCTTCTTAATTGGAGAAATGTTCCATGTTGGAATTACCTACCAAAAAAACTAAGAAAAGTAAGTTCCTTTATACATAAACACACATTACTTTATGAATCTTCCTTCCTTTACTCCTTTACTATTACAATGGGCTACAGATTAGATGGGGGGAGAAAGGGAATGGGACAGATGATAGTGTCTGCAAATGCTTTGTGTCTGTGCACAAAAAAGAAAGAGTAAGAGGTTCAGTATCTATTGATAATATTATTATAGCTGCTCTCAGAATTTACCTTGTCTGAGGAAACTCCAAGTTATTAGCCCCTAAAGCAGCAAGGACGTAAAGAAGGGCGGCCCTTGCTTCTGAGGTTCCACCAGAAACAGAGATGATCTCCACAGATACAGGTGATCATAACAATAAGTTAAACTACCTGGATGCAGTCCTGTGGGCCAGTGGATGGATCCCTGAATATGATTTCTACATCTCTAAATACTTCTATTGTTTTAAGGTTATAGGATCATTAGGCAGCCCAGTAACACAGAAGATACAGTTCTAAGTTCTAGACTTGGACACAAGAAGACCTGCTCCAGACACTATTTATAAGTCATGTGATCTTGAGCAAGTCACCTAACTTTTCTCAGATTCCGTCTCCTCTCCTGTACAATTAGAAAGCATCACTTCATATGGTTGTGAGGATCAAATGAGATAATATATGTAGAAAGTGCTTAGTACATAGTCAGTTATATAATGCTTATCCCCCAACTCTTCTTTCCTATTTCTTTCTAATGAGTACCAAATCCATCCTGAGGTATCAGATATCCAAAAGAAAGGTTAAAAAGCTACTCACCACTCCTTTCTCCACAACTTCCTTCAATTTCGATCGTGTCATTTTTGGTTCCTGAGAGACAGAAAAAAAAGAAAAGAAATTGAAAATGAAAATGAGGATGGGTTTTCTAGCAAAATCATATGGTTCCCAAATAGATATTTGTTTCCTTTACATTAATGTTTACTTCTTTAATTTATTTCTCTTATCTTCCTCTATAGTTAAGATTTAGAGCACCATGCTAAGTGGCAGTGGTAAAATCCTGGCCCCTGGGAGGATAGAGAGACACTCCTCTATCTTTGCAGTGGAAAGATGAGGGACTATAAGTGAAGAATAATGTGACATACAGTGTCATAATGATTTGTCAGTTGGCTTTGTTTAACTGTTTTTCTTTGTAAGAAATGTTTGATCTTACACTGGATACCAAAATAAAGTCAAGAGGGTTACACAATTTAGATATAAAGGCTGACACCATAAGCAAACTGGGAGAGCAAGGAATAGTTTACCTGCCAGATTTATGGAGAATAGAAGAATTTATGATCAAACAAAAGATAGAGATACATTATGAAATGCAAAATGGATAATTATGATTACCTTAAATTGAAAAGTTTTTGCACAAATAAAGCCAATGCAACCAATGTGGAGGGAAGTAGAAAACTGGGAAAGAATTTTTACAACCAGTGGTCAAAAGATATGAACAGGCAGTTTTCAGATAAAGAAATTAAATCTATTTTCTCTTTCTTTTGCTATTTTTTGTTTTTTCTTTCTCGTGGTTTTTCCCTTTTGTTCTGATTCTTCTTTCACAACATGACTAATGTGGAAATATGTTTGATATGATCATACATGTATGGCTTATATCAGATTGTATTATGAAGCAGTAATCATGAAAACTGCTTGGTACTAGCTAAGAAATAGAGTGGTGGATTAGTGGAATAGGTTAAATATGCAAGACATAGTAGTCAATGACTACAGTAATCTATTATTTGATAAATCCAAAGACCCCAGCTTCTGGGATAAGAACCCACTATTTGAAAAAAAAAAACTGCTGGGAAAACTGGAAAAGAGTATGGCAGAAACTAGGTAGAGACCAAAATCTCACACCATATACCAAAATAAAGTCAAAATGAGTTCATGATTTAGATATAAAGGCTGATACTATAAGCAAACTGAGAGTGCAAGGAATAGTTTACTGATCAGATCTATGGAGAACAGAAGAATTCATGACCAAACAGGGGATAGAGAACATTACAAAAAGCAAAATGGATAATTTTGATTACATTAAACTGAAAAGTTTTTGCACAAACAAAGACAATGCAACTAATATTAGAAGGAAGGTAGAAAATTGGGAAAGAATTTTTACAACCAGTCTCTCTGATAAGGGCCTCATTTCTAAAATAAATAAAGAATTAAGTCAAATTTATAAGAATACAAACCATTCCCCAATTGATAAAAGGTCAAAGGATATGAACAGACAGTTCTCAGATGAAGAAATTAAAGCCATCTATAGTCATATGAAAAAAAGCTCTAAATCACTATTGATTAGAGAAATACAAATCAAAACAACTCTGAGGTACCATATCACACCTATCAGACTGGCTAACATGACAAAACAGGCAAATGATAAATGCTGGAGAAATGATGGAAAATGCGGAACACTAACGCATTGTTGGTGGAGTTGTGAATTGATCCAACCACTCTGGAGAACAATTTGGAACTAGGCCCAAAGGGTTAAAAAAATATACATACCCTTTGACCCAGCAATACCACTTCTAGGGCTATATCCCAAAGAGATCATACAAATGGGAAAAGAATCCACATGTACAAAAATATTTATACCAGCTCTTTTTGTGTTGACAAAGAATTGGAAATTGAGAGGATGCTTATCAGTTGGAGAATGACTGAACAAGTGGTATATGAATGTAATGGAATACCATTGTGCTATAAGAAATCATGAGCAGGCAGACTTCAGAAAAACCTGCAAAGACTTGCATGAACTAATGCTGAGTGAAGTGAGCAGAACCAGGAGAATACTAGACACAGTAAAAGTCACATTATGCGATGACTAACTTTGACAGACTTATCTCTTCTTAGCAATGCAAGGATCTAAGACAACTCCAAAAGACTCGTGATGGAAAATGCTGACCACATCCAGAAAAAGAACTATGGAGTCTGAATGCAGATCAAAGCATATTATTTGCTCCCCCTTTTGTTTTGTTTTTTTTTCCTCATGATTTCTCCCCTGGGTTCTAAGTCTTTTTTACAACATGACTAATGTGAAAATAGGTTTAATATGAAGTATATTTTGAGCCTATATCAATTTACATGCCATCTTGGGGTGGGTAGAGGGGAGAGATGGGGAGAAAATTTGGAACTCAAAATCTTATGGAAGTTAATGTTGAAAACTAAAAACGAGTAAATAATTTTAAAAAAAAGAAAAAAAAATAGATCCATAGAAGTATTTAAAAATTCATGCCATTAATATCTAAAGTTATATGTTAAATTTGATAGCCTCTGACATTTAAAATATTATTAGCTTTCTCAAAAGAGAGTAACATTTGATTTTCTCATTGCTATGTTACTTTGACACATGCACATTATATATGTATGTATACATATATAATGTGTATACACATATATACTCATATAACATTAGACAAAATTCTCATAATTGATACTATTCAAAGTTTTGTAAAAATTCAACTTCCTCTTCATTTTCCCTATTTGAAATAGATGTGTAAATAAAAAATTGCCCTACTATCAAAAAAACAATGTTTGGAGGAATGGAGGTGGGAGAGGAAGAGTATGGAGAGAGAAGAAAGGGGTATATATTCAGAAATAACTATGTTAGGGGCAGCTAGGTGGCACAGTGGATAGAACACCGGCCCTGAAGTCAGGAGGACCTGAGTTCAAATCCGGCCTCAGACCAAACACCTGACACTTACTAGCTGTGTGACCCTGGGCAAGTCACTTAACCCCAACTGCCTAAAAAAAAAACAAAACAAAAAACACAAAAGAAATGATTGTTATAAACACAAAAGTCATAAATTAAGTCCTATTTTTAACAACTATATATATATATATATATATATATATATATAAAATAATGAGACTGGAAACGCTTGCTTTACTCCTAATTTTATTAGAAAGGTTTCCATTTTCCCCCCACTTCAAATAATGTAAGGTGTTCATTTTAGATAATTTTTATAACTAAGGAAAGATGCTTTCACTCCTATGCTTTCTACTGATTTTTAACATATACTGTATCTTGTCAAAAGCTTTTTATGAATCTATCAGAATGTGACCTTTATTTTTTAAATATTAATAAAAATATGCTAATCATTTCAGTGATATTGCATTCCTGATACCTGCAGATAAACCGAAGAATAAAAATTACTGGGGAAAGAATTAGTTTTTCTGTTTTTTAATTAATTAGTTTTTAATTTTCAACATTTGCTTTTATAAGATTTTGAGTTCTAAATTTCACTCCCCTCCCTCCAATCCCCACTCCCCAAGATGGAAAGCAATCTGATATAGGCCATATATATATGATCAGATCAAACATATTTCTGCATTAGTCATGTTGTGAAAGAACAATCAGAACAAAAGGGAAAAACTATGAGAAAGAAAAAACAAAAAATAACAAAAGAAAGAGAAAATAGTATTCCTTGATCTGCATTCAGACTCCACAGTTCTTTCTCTGGATGTAGATAGCATTTTCCACCATGAGTCTTTTTGAATTGTCTTAGATCATTGCATTGTTGAGAGAAGCTAAGTCTAACAAAATTGGTCATTGCAAAATGTTGTTGTTATTGTATACAGTGTTCTACAGTGTTCTCCTGGTTCTGTTCACTTCACTCAGCATCAGAGGAACTCATTTTTCAACACATACAATTCCAAATGTATACATGGGATAAATATAGAAAGCCATACCATAAGAAATTAGGAGAAATGAAGGGTTATATCGTAACTCCAGTTAGGGGAAAATCTTTAAGCAGTCAAACATAAAAAAAGTTATAAAAGGTAAAAGATCATTTTAATTATGTAAAATTAAAACTTTTGGACAAATAAAAGCAAAGCAAACAGAAGAAACATAAAACGGGAAAACCTTAAATCCATTAAACATTGTGATTTAAAGCCAGAAATTCAAAACATACAGAGAATTGATTCAAATATGAAACGTTAAAAGCTGTATCTCTAAAAAATACGAATTTGGGGTCAAAGAATATGAACAGATAGTCTGTATTCTGAAAACTATTATCAATAATCACTTGAAATATCTTCAAATCGTTACTAACCAAAGAAATTAATATTAAAACAACTCTGAAATATCAATTTACATCTATCAGATTAGCAAAGATGGAGAAATTCAATGTTGGCAGAACTGTGGGAAAAAAACAGATACACTAGTTCACCACTAGTAGAGCTGCAATTTCTTATAATCATTTTAGAAAGCAAAATGGAATCATTTAATGAAATACAAGTTATAAAACTGTTCATATTCTTTGACCCCCAATGCCCTGCTACTAGGTTTATAGCAACACTCTCCCCTCAAGGAATTTAAAAATAGGGGAAAAAGGCCTACTCATACAAAAAGATTCCATTTTTAAATAATAGTTCTATTTGTCATAGAAAAAAAATTAAAACAAATCATGTGCCCAAGAATAAGGAATAGCTGAATAAACATGAATGCAATGGAATATTATTACTCTGTAAGGAACAATGATTATGAATAATTCAAAGAAATGTGGGAAGACTTGTATGAATTAATGCAGGGTGAAGAAAACAGACTGAAAAGAATATACACTGATTACAACGATGGATAAGAAAAGAACATTGCCAAAAAAACCTAAATTAAATACAATGTAAGAACTATATTAAAAAAAACTACCTCATTACAGTTAAAGAACAGACTCCTACTCTTTTAAAACAGTAAATTACAAAAGGGTAAGATTACACATATTCTCAATTATAAATACTCTTTGGTATTGTTTTACTTAATAAGTTTATCAAGCTATTAAAACAAAATTATCAATTTAAAAAATAAGAAAGCAACATTGGGCTTTGAGAGTTTGATGTCAATTCTACTGCTAATACTATTAAATCTATTTTTAAGTCCCTTCTCAAGTCCCACCAATTTTTCTGGCTAAATCAATCCCATCACATTAAAGAGTTAATAACTCACAAACACGGGCAAGTCGTCTGTCTCACTGATGGCTGCCTTCATCATTGCTACGACATGTTCATTTGTGATCACTTCCTGGAGAAAAGGATATTTTTGCTTTAAGCAACAAAGGTTTGTTCATTTGATTTAAAGTTCTATTGTAGAATCAAAGACACAGAGAACCGGAAGGGAACCTTGTGGCCTGATCTATATAGGACTGTATAGTAGTCTAATCTGTATAGGAAAAGAAAGCCCCACTACAACCTACCTGACAAATGGTTATCCACTCTCTTCCTGAAGACCTTCAAAAATGGGGACCCTTTAGACAGTACATTCCACTTCAAGACAGCTCTAATTCATAGAAGTTTCCTCCTGATATCAAGCCTAAATTGCCTAAATCTTTGTAACCTTCCCCATGTGCTCCTGATTTGCTCTCCAGGGTCAAACAGAACAAGTCTACTCCACATGATAGTCCTTGAACCTAACAGAGTTTTCATGTCACTCCTAAGACTTCTCTAAGATAAACATGCCTAGTTCTTCTCACCTAGTTCCTCTCAATAACTCAGGACCATCCAAACCACCCTGGTTGTCCTCTTCAGGGTAATCTCTAGCTTATTAACGCTCTTCTATGGTACTTGGAATTGAATACAATACTCCAGGTGAAGTCTGGCAATGGCACACAGTGGGACTATCACCTTCCAATCCCTGGAAGCTATGCCTCTTTTAATACAAGGTCAAGATTTAATTAGCATTTTTGGCTGCCCTATCACACTACTGACTCATATTTGAGCTTGGAGTTCACTAAAAACCCCCAGATCTTTTTTCAGAACACCTACTGGCTAACCACACTTCTCTCATCTTCTACTTGTGATTTTTTTTTTTGTATCCAAGTGCAAAATTTTACATTTGTATCTAGTAAACTGCGTAATGTTAGATTGGATCCAATGTTCTAGCCTTTCAAGATGCTTTTGGACACTTTTCAGATACTGATTCTGTTGTCCAATGTACCAGCTATTTCTTCTAACTTTTGTGTCATTTGAAAATTTGATGTGCATACCATCTATGTCTTTATTAGTAAAAATTTATTTTATCCTACCACGAATCCTTTGGGCTAGACATATGCCACAAGTAAAAAAACAAGACACCCAAATAACTTCTGTGTAGAGAATGAAAGTGAGGAGGCCTATGAGGAAATCACTCTCTTCTCCCTAGGTTTTTTTTTTGTTTTGTTTTGTTTTGACACTATTTTGGTTCTCTTCTTCCTTGTCTGACTGCTCCTTCTCAGCCTATTCTTCTGGACTTTCATCCAATTAACACTCACTAACAAAGGATGTTCCCCAAACTTCTGTTTTGGGCCCTCTCCTTTTCACCTCTTAAATGAATTGTTGCAATAGCCTCTTAACTGGTGTTCCTGCATCCGATTTCTCCCCTCTCCAACACAACCTTCCTAAAGCACCACCCTGAAAACATCCCTGTTTCACTGGCTATCTGCTGCCTACTAAGAAAATACTTAGCTGGCATTCAAGGCTTTCTGACTCCACTCTTATCTTTCTAGCTATCTCTCATGATGATCTTCTTAATGCACTCTTCCTTTCAGTTAAACTGGTCTACTCATGGCCCCCAATTCTTGTCCCGCTCTCTTCCATCTCTATGCCTTTGCTTACACTCTTCCTCATGTTTTAATAGGGACCTTTTCCTCCTCCATTTCTACTTACTGAAATGCTTTCTTTCCTTTAAAGCCCAACTCAGGTGCCAACACTTCCGTGAAGCCTTCACTGAACTCCTAGGTAAAAGTGATTTATGTCTTTTCAAATCTCCCTTTGTAATAAATCTGAATCTGTCCTTTATAATTATACTTTCTAATGTGCAGTAGAAGTTATTTTCATGTAGATTTTATTGGCAGCAAATCTCAACAGCAAACACTGTGTTTTATTTCATCTTTGAATACATGGAACATGGAACGGTACCCTACAGACAGTAAGTGCTTACTGTTTGTTAAGTTGAATTGAATATGATTTGATTTGCATAATAAATTTCTGTCTCTGTGTCCTCCTCCTCATCCTAGCCACGTATCTCCTGCTAGCCCTTCTGCTCCCAAACCCACCTCAGCCTTACTTACATGAAGGATGTTTCTCACATTGACAACTGTTAGGTTATGCTGTTTGGCACCATCTTCTAAGGTACGGTCAAGCATATCATCCAGTTTCAGGTCATAAGCCAACGTCCCTTCCTCCTGACTTCTTCCATCTCGTTTCCTCTTGGTGGCTTTTTTCTTTCTCCGTCTTTTCTCACCCTCCTCACCATCTTGTTCTTCTGTTAACAAATAAGGAAGACAATCAATGAAATACAATGAAATCAACTGCAGTGTAAACAATAAGAAGCAACAATAAAACTTTTAAAAAATCTTTAGGCTTAAAAGCAAAATGAGAAAAATGATTCTTCATTGTTACTTATTAATAACATCATCAATATGATAATTTATTTTTCAATGCATTTACAGATAATATACATTCTTCTCTAAACCAGATAAAATTATTGCTTCATAGACCTAAAAAAAATTTCTAATTTCTCTTTTAAGACCTCTCAGAAGCCAGGAGGCAAACAATACTATTGAAGATTAGTTATATGCTGTTTGGAATTAGAGACAATGAAACTGCTCAGCCTGTAGCTCCAAATCTCAGAAGTAATGCTATACAGAAGGGAGCCTTTGTTCTTTGGAATGGAAGGGAAAGAACAAAAAGAGAAAACAGGAAGTACAAACCCAAGATAAGTTGGAAGAGAATGAGAAAGTACCCAGCTGCCCTTGATGAATTCAGATTATCAGATCAAGACAAAATGTATTCCAAGGTACTGAAAGAAGTGTCAAATATGATGGTCAATCCCTGCCAGGAACATCTAAAACATTATGAAGAACAGGAGAGGTGCTACTGAACTACAGAATAGCTCATATCCCAATTTTCTAAAAAGGAAGGAGAATAAGAGTCTGCAAACTACAGGTCAAGCCAATGAATATGACTTTGATCTCTGGCAAAATTCTAGAGTGTAACACCAAAAGGAATGTTTGCAGGGACTGTTTTATTTTTGTCTTTGTATACAGAGTGCCAAGCACAGTGCTTGGCACCTAGTTGGTGCTTAATTAGAGCTTTGATTGACTTAGTGGACATCTAAAAATGGAGTGGTCATCAAAAAGAGTCAAGGCTTCATCAAGATCAAGTTCTGACACATAAACATTATTTCCTTTTCTGAAAGTGTTACAGATGCCTTTGTTTGGCATTTATATCCCTTTTAAATCCAGCTCCAGCCTATCTTTCCAAGACATGATACTGTATATTGCTCTCCTCCATGTACCTTTTGTTCTAGCCAAACAGACCTACTTGCTGCTTCCAGTACCTGAAATTCCATCTCCTGCCCCCTTATCTTTACACAGGCTGTCCTGCAGGGCTGAAATGCACTCTCTCCTCATGCAGGATTTAGTTTTCCAACCTAATCTTCTATATGAAGTCTTTCCTAATACCTCCAGCTACTAATCCCCTACACCAAATCACTTTACATTTCATTTGCATATTTAATTCACTTGTATATATATGTTGTTTTCTCCAGTATCACGAGCTCCTTGAGGGCAGGGAATTTTTGTTTTTTCCTTTATATCCCCAACCACTAGCCCAGTGTTTAGTGGAAAGCAGGTATTTAATAAATGCTTGCTGATCTGATGACTAATCAAGAACAGGTCATGAAGATGAACAATGAGTTACTGTAAAAACTAATCCTTGCCCTGGAGAAGAGATGAGATAGTGCATCCCTTCTTTAGGTAGAGTGCATGATAATGCATTCTGGTCAGGTCCAGTCTCAGCTGGTCTTGCATAACTTTTTCTTTTTCTTTCTTTTTCTGCTTTTTGGTGAGGGAATAGGGGTTAAGTGACTTGCCCAGAGTCACACAGCTAGTAAGTGTCAAATGTCTGAGGCCATATTTGAACTCAGGTCCTCCTGACTCCAAGGCTGGAGCTCTATCCACTGCGCCACCTACCTACCTGCATAACCTTTTATTACAAGGAAGAGCTCACTGAGGTGGAAGGAGGTTTATCTGTGAATTATATGGAACATAAAAGTAAAAGGCATCATTAAAACATTTTTTTTTAAATCAAAAGAACAGTTAATGACAGATTAACCTCATTTTCTTTTTTTAACATGGCTAGTAGATTGGTAGACCAGGAGTGCTATAAATACAGTTTACCTGAAGTTTACTAAAGTATATAACAAAGTCACTCATGCTACTCCTTCAGAAAAGATGGAGAGAGGTAGGCAAGCCAGAAATACATTTCTATGAATTTGGAATTGTTTGAATAGACGGAACCAGAGAATAATCATTAATGATTCAATTTTAACTTTAAATAAAGTCTCTGTAGAGTGCCCAGGAATCTATGCTTGGTTTTCTGCTATCTAACACTTCTGAATATCATTTTGATAAAAGAATAGATGCCATGCTTAACATATATGTAGATGACACAAAATTGGGAAGGATATGTAATATGTGTAAAGACAGGGTCAAGCTCGAAAAGATTTCAAATGGTCTAGAACTTTAAGCCAAATTTAATAAGCTGAAATTTATTAGAGATAAATGTCAACTATTATACTTAACTTTAAAAAAAAAATGAACTTCACAAGTACAAGACAGGACAAGACTGGGCTAAACCATCCAAAAAAGATATGGGATTTTTCATGAACTGCAAGCTCAGTATGACTCAAAGGTGTGATACAGTACCAAATTAATATCAAGCTACATTAAAAAAGAGAGTGTCCAGGACAATGTAAGCGATAGTCATGCTAAATTCTATCCCAGTTCAACTACATCTGACATATAGTACTCAGTTCTGGATGCCACAATGATAGGATGGATATGAGGATAAAATGAAAGAATGACAGATAGTTAGCCTAGAGAAGACAATACTTAAAGGAATATGCTTACTCTCTTCAAATATCTGAAGTATCATCCTGGGGGGAAAGATGGAGTTCAATCAAACAATCAACAAGCATTTATTAAACACCTATCATGTGTGAGGCACTATGATAGGCATTAGCACATTCTCTGTACTAGTATAAAAGTATTTGGTTTTAGTACTAGGATTCTTTGTATAAGTACAAAGAATAAAACAATTCTACTCTCCAAAGAATGAAACAATCTCTACTCTTGAAGAGCTTACATTCTAATGGGGGAGACAATATGTACATATATAAGCAAATAAAGAATAAAAAGAGAATAAATACAAGGTGGTTTAGAAAGGAATATACTAATAGTAGGTGGTACTTAAGTTGCATCTTGAAGGGAAAAAAAAGGATTCTGTGAAGCAGAGGGAAGGAGAGAGTGCATTCCAGGCATCAGGAATGACCACTGCAAAGGCAACGAGATAGGAGATGTAGTGTCCATTATGAGGAACAGAGAAAGACAAAGCCAGTATAACTGAAATGCAGAGTGTTGCAGGGGGTGTAATTATCTAATGTTCAGTGAGGCTAGAAAGACAGGCTGGGGCCAGATTGTATATGGCTTTAAAAGCAAAATCAAGGAGTTAATATTTGATCCTAGAAGCAATAGGGAGCTGCTGGAGTTTGCCAAGTGAGGGAGTGACAGGGTCAGATTTGTGTTTAAGGCAAATCACTTTCGCAGCAAAGATAGAAGGAGACCAATTAGAAGGCCTCTGTAATAATCTAGTTGAAAGGTGACGAGGACCTGAACCACGGTGGTAACTGAATGAGTAGAAACAAACGGTCAGATGTGAGAGATGTCATGAAGTAAAAATGGTGTTTGGCAGCTAGATATGTGGGATAAGTAAGGAGCCAAGGATAATGTTGTTTGTTAGTGCTGTTTCATATGATAATATTTGATAATGTTGTAATGTTAATAATGTAAAAATCCTCCCAGGGTTGTTAATCTGGGAAAAATGAAAGGTTGGTGCATCTTCAAAAAGGAAAAGGAAAGTTTGGAAAAGGGGAGGATTTGGTCGGAAAGATAATGAGTATGGTTTTAGACATGCTGAATTTTAGATGTCACTGCGACATACGGTCTGAAATATCCACTGGGTAACTGGTAATGTGGGACTGAAACTCAGGGGAGAGACTTTGGATATATAGATTGGATATGTGCACACACACACACGCACGTATGTGCGTGTATGTGTGTGTGTGTGGTTATGTGGTCAGTAGCTAGCTGGCACAGTGGACAGAGCTCCTGAGCTGGAGTCAGGAAGACTCATCTTCCTGAGTTCAAAACTGGACTCAGACATTTACTAGTTGTTTGTCTTTGGACAAGTTACTTAATCATGTTTGCCTCAGTTTCCTCATCAGTAAAATAAACTAGAGAAGGAAATAGCAAACCAATCCAGCATCTTTGCGAAGAAAACACCAAATGGGGTCACAAAGAGTTTGACACAATTACGTATGTATATATATATGTGTATGTGATCTATAGATCTGTGAGTCATCTGCACAGAGATGATAATTAAATCCATGGGAACTAAAGAGGTTACCAAGAACACAGAATGTAGATAGAGAAGAGAAAGGGCCTAGAACAGTACCTTGGGAAACACCCGCAGTTAAAGGTCTTAATGTAGATAATGAGCCAACAAAGGAAACTGAGGAGTAGTTAGACAGGTAAGAGGAGAACCAAAAGAGAGATATATCATGAAAACTCAGATTGGAGAAAGTTTCCAGATAGAGAAAGTAGTCAACAATGTCTAATGCAATGGACAGGTCAAGAAGGATAAGGACTGAGAAAAGTAGGTTGGATTTAGCAATTAAGAGTTCACTGGTAAATTTAGAAAGAACATTTTCATTTGAGTGGCAATGTTAGAAGCCAAAATGCAAAGGGTTAATAACTAAGTGAGAAGAGAGTAGAGGCACTGAGCAGAAATAATATTTTCAAGCAGTTTGGCTAAGAAAGAGAAGAAAGATACAGCATGATAATTGTCTAATGACAATTTTTTAAGGATGGGAAAGACTTATACGTGTTTCATGACAGCAGAGAAGGAACCAGTAAATAAGATGAGGCTGAACAATAGAGAGAAGGGGTGACTGAAGTTGTAATATGCTAGAGAAGGTGGGAAGGGACTGGATCAAGTACACATGTAGAGTGGTTAGTCTTGGCAAAGGCAAAGACCACCTCACTGACAGAAACTGGCAAGGAGGAAAGAATGAAGAGTTTTGAGATGAAAGAACTGAAGAAGCCAGAGCTCATATCCATTGGTCTCAATTTTCTCAGGAATAATAGGCAAGTCAAAGCCCTCAGCTGATAGAGAGGGAGAAGAGGTAGGCTTGAGAAGAGAAGAGGGTTTGGAATAGCTTCTGTGGGAGGTGATATAGAGAACCAACAAGGGAGGAATAAAAGTATTGCTTTATTGCAGTAAAGGCCCAGTTAATGTTGGAAAACCTGGATTTATAATGTATTCAGTCAGCAGAATTCTGTGACTTTCTCCAGCTCTGTTCAGCAGCCTTTGAGTAGGACAAAGGGAACAGATGGTTAGAGTAACCTGAGGCTGACAACTGACAACATATATGAGCAACAACAGGACAAGGGGACAAGAGATGTGAGAGCAGAGGCCAATGAAGAGTTGATATGGTTATCTATTGGGCTGAAACTGAAAAGGGAAGAAATGTGAAGTCAGACCAGAGCTAACCGCCCAAGAAATACTGAGAGAAGGAGAGAATGGAGTTCTCAATGGGTGAAGAATAGATTTAGGGATGTTAAGAACAGGGAGAGATGGAATGAAATGAGGTTATGGTCAGAGGAATGTAGTTTCAAAATAATGAAGTGAAATACTCCTGGGTAATGATGAGATATGATATGTGCCCATCTGTGTGGCTGAGGTAGAGTCATGGTCACAGGAGGCTAAGGAATTGGGAAGTTAGGGAGTTAAAACACTCCTGTATCCTCTTCATTGATTAAGGTACAAGGCATGCCTTTTCCAAAGAGGAAAGCAATGAGAAATAAACCAAGAAAAAGTAGGCTCCTCAGCACAAAATCAATTCTCCCTTGACATGGCTTTTGTCAGATCTGAAGTGCAAATCCCTTAACATCATCATGGCTGGGTTTAGGGACTAAATTAAATCAAATCTCTGACTCTTTTGATTCTGATAATGAGTTTGTTGGGGAACATGAGCCTGTGTAAGAAATTCCCGCATAGACATATCTCAATTATCCAGACAAACAAAAGGAAGCTGTTACAGAGATAATCTAAAGAACTGATAATCTTCAAATTGTTTTTATCTTGCTTTGAAATGCATTTGTGTTCCTTAATTTCAACAAAGATTTCAAAATATTCTGGGATTTCCCAACATTTCATATAAAATAGAGAAACTATATTTATGAAAACAAGGTCCCGAGATGACCAAAACAGCTATATAGTTTCTTGATCTTCAAGAGAAGGTATTGAGCAAGCAGACTGACAACATTATGGAGTGGCTAATAATACACTCTTCCCTGATAAACAGAGACTGATATCAACAAGAAGCTTAATGAAAAATTCACTGTGTTAAGTACGAACAAGGCCAGTGAAAATTTGGGTTTGTTCCCGTGATTCCCTGAATCAATCTGTAGGTATTTTTGAACATATGACCATGTTAATCAAATCTTCTGGATACCTACCAAGTGGAATAAACAGTCCAATATCCTCCATCTCTTCTTCATTCTGATGAGCAGGAGTCCTAGCTGGCTTTTCTTGAGGAGAAGTAAACCCTCCTGGCTGGGAGGATTTCTTTGGCTGAATTCCAAGCCTTGCAGAGTGGTTGCCTACTTGTTGTAAAGGCCCCTCCTTTTCAGACTGCATTTGAGGTTTTCCTATAGAAAGGTCACAAGTGTAATGCCATATGGTCAGTATTCACATTCTTTTTTCATATAAAAAGCTTTCCAGTCAGTCAATCAATATCATGATATCAGTGTACACCTACATATTAGTACCCAAGTATTACTACTTATGTGGATGGAAAGCCCTCAAACTTAAACCAGTCCTGGAAATGTTGCCATAAGTCAAAATTAGAAAAGTAAAATCTGTTTTTGCTACAGAAATAATATGTGTGATAGACTACGTTCCTGATCCAGGCATAAAAACAACCACAAACACAATGTCAAATGAACCACAAGTTATATGTGAGCAGGAGATGATTTTCATGAGTTGCTATAACAGAAAAAATTAATTTCTCTGTAGCCAACCCTGTGGCCAAAAGCATGTCCAAACTAAGTTCTGTCCTGTACTGGCTGTCAAGGCAGTCTGCTTGAGACAGTCACACCAACTCCCACGGATTCAACCTCGATAATCTATATATCAAGCTCCCACTTTTTTCCTCAGCCCCGGGCCCACTTCTCCAACTGCCAGGCATCTTAAATTTAGTCCAAAACAGAACTCACTATCTTTTCCTTAAAACCACACCTCCTCCTAACATCTCAATTTGTTAAGGACACCACCCAGGTTTACAACCTAGGAGCTAGCCTCCATTTTTCAGACTCTCCTCCCATATCTAATCATACACCACAACCACCCTAGTTCAAGCCCTCATCAGCTCTCACACAGACAACTACAGTAGCCTCCTAATAGATCTCCCAGCCTTGAATCTCTCTCTTCTCCAATCTTTCCTCTACACATCTGCCAAACTGGTATTCCTAAAGCACAGGTTGGATCATGTTACTCCTTTGATTAGGAGGCTTTAGTGGTTCTCCATTGCCTCTAGGATAAAATACAAACTCCTGTTTGGTGTTTAAAGCCTTTCACAATCTGACTCCAGCCTACCTTATACAATCTATACTTCAGTCACCTGACATTCGGTCTTCTCTATACTGTGCCTTTACAAACAGTCCTGGAATGCTTTCCCCTATCTCCCTTCAAAGCTCACTCAGGTCAAGTGCTTATTGTTGTTCTTCCTTCATTCTCTAAGAAGACCAATGACATCATGAAGGTGATGTCTTGACTTGTTCATAAATTGGATTTAAGTGAGGCAGAGAAGTCATACCTCCTTCAGGAGGTCCTTCCTGATTTCTAGTTGTTGGTGCCTTTGTCCCAGATCACTGCATATTTATTTTGTAGTCTTATATGGACATTTTATTTACTGAAAAGGGCAGAAATGAGACATGTTATGTGAAACTCAAGAGAAAAGCAGCTTGACAAGAAACACAAAGAGCTGCTTTTTTAAAAAATTCAAATTTATTACTTTTTGGCATTTTTTTTCTTAATTGAGTTTCGACTTCTCTCTCCCTACCACCAGCCTCCCCCCACTCATTGTGAAGGCAAGAAATGTGCTATCAATTACATATGTGAAATCATGCAATATACACTTCCATATTAGCTATGCTGCCAAAAAAAATTTTTAAAAAAACCCAAAGAAATTAAATAATTATGTTTTGATCTACATTCAGACTCCATCAGTTCTTTTTCTAGAGGTGGAGAGCATTTTTCATAACTCTTTTGGAACTGTCTTAGATCATTGTATTGATCAGTATAGTTAAGTCATTTACAATTGATCATTATACGATATTGCTGTTACTATGCACAATGTTCTCTTGGTTCTACTCAGTTCACTTTGCATCAGTTCATATAAGTCTTCCCAGGTTTTTCTGAAACCATCCTGCTCATTATGTCTTATAGCACAATAGTATTTCATTGTTCATCCATTCCCCCACTGATGAGCATCCATCCCCTCAATTTCCAATTCTCTGCCACCACCATTTTTGTACCTATGTGTCCTTTTCCTTTTCCTTTAATCTCTTTGGGATATAGACCTAGTAATGGTATTGCTGGGTCAAAGGATACACAGTTTTATAGCCCTTTGGGCATTGTTGCAAATTGCTTTCCAGAATGGCTGGAGTTCACAAATCCACCAAGAGTGCATTAGTGTCTCAGTTTTTCCACATCTCCTCCAATATTTGTCATTTTTTTTCTATCATATTAGCCAATCTAATCTAATAGGTGGAAGAAACATAAACAGTTCTAAGAATATCTGAGAACACAGCAGCCCCTCAGATGAAAGTACCTGAAGAAAAACACATAAACTTCTGAGAGAACTGCGGAAAGCATGTACTTCAAAGGCAAAAATACAGGTTGATTTTAAAGATAGCTGCAGTGTATGGTTTCCCAGAGGCTAATTTACATATGACTTTTTTTAAACTCTGAATCAAAGAACTTTTCTGGGATAACTATGAAGCTATCAGTATCTTATCTAACAAAAATGTGGATTTGGGGTTTCTTTCAATCTAAGATAGAAATTGGTCACTACACCTTAGGATGCCCTGATTCTGAAATATTAGAAGCCAAAGTAGAAGCCAAGAAAGCATGGAAACCAGCATAAAACAAGTAGAAAGAAGGCAAAAGAAACCAGAGCAGCTGAGCCCCACTGACATCAGCTCACTGGGGACAGGAGGCTCTGGAGCTGATTTTGAGACCTAGTAAGATGGGAGGAAAGTTTTCATACTGAAAACTGATTGGAGAAAGTAATATCCTATCTTATACAAAGAGGATTGAATGCTATGCCAATACCACTGCATATACGCAGTAGAGTAGTGTGCTGATTACTTGGGATGAGCAAAAACTGGGATATGGTCTCATCGTAGGACAGCACTGGTAAGGCACATCTTATATTTCTGACTCAGCATATCTAATCTTGGCCACATAAAACCAGACTGAGCTGGTTTCCCCAACTGGTTTTTAAAGATGTAAGAAGTTGAAAAGTTTTAAAAGACAATAAATTTATTTTACTTTGTCTCAAGTAATTAGCATATCACTGTATTTATTTATCTGAAAACATGTTGTATCCTTCCTCCCTCCCACCCCCTATCCTCCCCACCCACCCCTCACCCCAAATCTTCATGAAGAAACAATTTCACTTTTATATTTTATTTTCAATACACCTAGCACAGTGCTTGGAAACTAGAAGACACTTAACACTAATATAAGTACTTAGTAAGTACTTCATTCAAGCTTGCTGACTGATTTCTATTGCCACAAATCAGAAGATGAAGGAATACATTTGTCAGTGATGAAATTAAGAAGGGTTTCTTTGGGGAGAGATTTTGAAGACAGAAAGAAACTGAATGCCATCTCATGGCTTTTTTAAATTGCCAGTACCATGCCTGGCACACAGTAGCATCTAATAAATGGTTGTTGATTGATTTAGAGATACCTTCTTCTCACTGCAAATTTTCCTTTAGCAAGTACTGTAATAACAGACAAAAAGACTGAAGTTTAAATTCTGCCTCAGATACATACTAGCTGTGTAACCCTGAACAAGTCTCTTAACCTGTTTGCCTCAGTTTCTTCATCTGTAAAAGAAGGATAATAGCACCTACCTCCCAGTAGATAGTAAGGATCAAATGACATAGTAACTGTAAAGTGTTTTGCAAACCATAAAGCTCTATATAAGATTCTAGCTATCATATAGCACTTTAAGGTGTACAAAGATTGACAGACAGACAGAGATAGATAGATAGATAGATAGATAGATAGATAGATAGACAGACAGACAGACAGATACAGTCTTATTGATCCTCTTAGCAACCCAGTGAGGTAGATACAAATTTTTACCTCAATATCAAGGCTTTCTGCCTTGAGACATCATTTTCATCAATACTGGGTAGCTTTATTTTGCAACCTGCACAAGGCATACATGCCTTTGAAGTATGAGAAGCATGGTACAGCAGACAGAGTTAGCTTATGAGTTAGGAAGGCAAGTTCAAATGGGGCCTCCAATACATATAGACTAAAAGATTCTGAGTAAATCATTTAACCCTTTATGCCCCAAGCAACTCTAAAACCATAAGCTGCAAAGTAGGTGACCCTCTGCACTGGTACAGAACTTCCTACACTAGTAAAATCACAGATCCAGTAAAAAAAAAATGTGAGCGGTAAACCTTGTTTACATTCAGTTGTTCATCCTTTGATCCTTCACCATGTTGTTTCACAATGTCAAAAAGATAAAAAGCTTTAGTTTGAATGCTGGTCAAATTCAAATGTATAGGGTCTTCAGTTTGGGTCTGATTCCCCAAAATCTTTTGTGGATAAAGTCTTTCATTCTCAACAGGTTGTATACTTTGTCTTATTATGGAAGATTATGACCATCATTAAAGCACTCTTTCTTTCTTTTACAAGCTACTTTTAAGGAATGACGTGTGACAGTAGAAGAATGAAACTTTGGAGGAGGGAGGAGAGTTAAACATATGATAACTTATACTTCAAAGTAAATTTTGTTCTTTAAACTAGTACTCTTGGGGAGTTATGCGCTTGTTCAATTGACACCCCATTGTCTGTAACATTTTTGGATTTCTTCCTTTGGATTATTAAAAGATCTCCATATATTTTGGCCTTAAAAAGGTTTTTCTGACTAGACTGCTAATGAAAACTGTCTATTTTGTTGCTTAAGGAGAAAAAAAGTCAAGGAATATTTAACAATCTGGAAAAATCGGTTTTAAGAACTGTGCAAAAAGCTCTCTTTAGCAGTCACATGAGGACTTTCTTACTACCTTACATGCCACCACTCTCCTCAATCTACACCTTTATAGATCCTTTATGATAACTCCCTTAAGCTTAGCTCTACTACCTCTCCTTCCCTCCCTTCTCAGCAGTTTCCAAAATTCAAAGAATTTTAGAACTAAAACAGACCTTAAAGACCATCTAGCCCAACTCTCTCTTTATATATAAGCAATGTTATAGAAATCGAAATTGTTAAAAGCACTGGATATCTTAAAGTTAAGCCTACATTGACAATATGGTGAAAATGTTGTTATTGTTGTTTAAAATATTTTCGCATCATAGACTGAACATACATATGCCAGTAGGTGCTGAGAGCTTTATCCAG